AAACTTGCACATCTGTCTTTTGATCGTAGAGAAAAAATAAAAGCTTTGGTATTTTCTTTTAAAAATCTTTTTCCAGATGTGCCAAACAAAAGCACTGCCGTTTGTCATGATGTTGATGTAGGCGATGCTTCTCCAATTAAGCAACATCCTTACCGGCTCAATCCACTCACACTTGAATTTATGAGACAAGAAATAAAATATATGCTTGACAATGATATAATGAGCCGAGTAACAGTGAATGGAGCTCTCATAGCTCCTTGTACCCAAACCAGATAAAACCTTTCGTTTCGTAACTGATTTCAGAAAAGTCAATTCAGTTTCAAAATCTGATTCCTATCCGATTCCAAGGATAGACAATTGTATTGACAACATTGGTCAAGCAAAATTTGTGAGCAAATTTGATTTATTGAAAGGTTACTGGCAAGTTCCATTGACACAGAGAGCTCGAGAAATATCAGTTTTTGTCACACCAGACGGCTTATTTCAATATACTGTAATGTCGTTTGGCATGAAAAGTGTTCCAGCTACATTTCAAAGAATGATCAATAATGTTATAAAAGATTTAGACTGTTGTTATGCTTATATTGATGATCTTATTGTATGTAGTGATAGCTGGGAAGAACATTTAACACATTTATATGATACTTTTGATAGACTGTCACAATTAAATTTGACTGTTAATCTTGGTAAAAGTGAATTTTGTCAGGCCACTGTTGATTACTTAGGACACACAGTTGGCCAAGGTCAGGTGAAACCTATTATGGCTAAAGTGGATGCAATTACCAAATTTCCTCCTCCTACAAATAAAAAAACAACCTTTGAGATATTTAGGCATGATTGGATTTTACAGGAAATTCTGTTCAAATTTTGCTACTGTTGTTCGACCATTGACCATTTACGGAAAGATTCTACATTTATCCGGGGTGAAAATTGTCAAAACGCTTTTGAAAATAGCAAATCACTTTTAATTAATAGTCCAGTTCTGGTCACTCCAGACTTTGAAAAACAATTTAAACTTGCCGTTGATGCTGAATTGGAGCTGTTTTATATCAAGAGACAGGTGATAATCTTGAGAAACCTATATCATATTTTTCTAAGAAATTAGATACACATCAGAAAAATTATTCGACTATTGAAAAAGAGTGTTTTGCACTGTTGTCTGCACTTCAACATTTTGATGTATGTTTAAATCCCACTGTGCATCCTATTCTTGTTTATACTGATCATAATCCTCTCACCTTCATACATAAAATGAGAAAAAAGAACCAGAGGTTGACTAGGTGGAGTTTAGTTACTGGAATATGATGTTATTGTAAAACATATCAAAGGTAAATATAATGTAATAGCAGATGCTTTATCTAGACCTGATTAGAACACTCTGTATATACTATGTATTTTTGTACATATTATTCATGAAAATTTTTTGTTACACTCAAACTTTTTTAAAGCGGGGAGGTGTTATGATATTGTAACTATCATATTTATTTAGTTGACCTTATTTGTTTTGTGTGGCCTAAGAATGTTTACATTATATTTTTTTTACATTGTGTACAAAATAATACACATTGTGTTACAACTATGCAGTTTAGAAATCACTAGAACAATCATTGATACTCATGGAATGATTAGAACTTTCTATTTCACTTACATAACGTTTCCAGAATGATCATAACAAAAGATGCGTAATTTAAACATCTACCGTTATCTAGAAGTTTCCGTTATAAGTATATATATAAGTATGCAGACCCTAAAGTTAGATATAGACTTAGACATCGATAGACATCAACATTCTCAGCAGTTGGATTGACACTTTTTTTTACAATTTACATCATACTAGATTGTTACCTATTGGACGTAATATTCTCTATGGATTCCGAGAAGATTTTCGGATAAAGAAAAGTTAAAAGATTGGATATATATTTTGACAGTTAAGTTGACATTACTATTTGTGGGATACTTCTTGTAAACTTGTGTATAATAAATCTTGTCAAATTTTATCATTGATTTGTGACTTTTGTTGGCTACAATTAAAAGTCGATTTTTCTGGTCGTAACAGTTGTTACAATGTAACTTATCTACTTTTTCTTTGTATTTATATTATTGAGTTTTGTATTATTTGTCACTTCATTAAAGACTAAAATTAATATGTTTCTCAGTAATACTATTGCACTAATTGGAAATGGACACTTAAACTTCTACCTGATTCTATTTAATAGTAATCTGCAATGATATTGAACGGCATAAATTGTACTTAACTAGAATACAAATAGAAGTTGTATTCACCGACGATGTAACAAGACCTATTGAAGTTTAGATAAAGTATACAGGACTATTTGCTTTTGATACTGACTTTCTCACAGTAAAATATCGGGTGAGCTCGAAGGTTGATGTCTACAGGAAAATTCTTGAACCAACAGTTCTAAGTAAATACATTGATGCCATCTGTTCAATGGTTTTATGGCCGACACTGTGTTATATATGACAAAAAATATGTTGCATCTAATGATTCTTAAATGATTGTGACATCAAACACGAAGACGAACGTACCAAGAGCAACACTAATCCCCACATTTATAGATATCTGTTTGTTTATTTTGTGATTTGGTTTCCATTTAATGATACATAAGATGTGTAACTTGTATCAGACAATTATTAGTAAATTATCAAACCAAATTACAAATTCAACGATTTTGCAAAACTTTTAAATTGTGCAATGCTACAAGTTAGACACGGAAAGTGCGGCAGATAATAGAGGTAAGTGTTCAGAACTGTATAGAAATGCAGATTTCAATTGTTCAAGAGCAAACTAAATATCAGATACCTTGAGTATTGTAAACTTTCCGAACTCCACCAAAAACTGGGGGTGATCTCAGGTGCTCCGGAAGGGTAAGCAGATCCAATAATTCCGAATCTTAGTTTTTATATCCATTATGGAGCAGGATCTGCTTACCCTTCCGGACCACCTGAGATCACCCCCAGTTTTGGTGGAGTTCGTGTTGCTTAGTCTTTAGTTTTCTGTGTTGTGTCATGTGTACTATTATTTGTCTGTTTGTCTTTTTCATTTTTAGCCATGGCGTTGTCATTTTATTTTCGATCTATGAGTTTGACTGTCCCTCTGGTATCTTTCGCCCCTCTTAGATAGAGGCGAGTTGCTTTTCTCTCTGGTGTCACATATAACTCTTTATCTTTAAATTAATAACGATTATCGGATTATCAAACTTTGACACAATTGTAATTTCATTTCAATATCTTTATTATGATTTATCAAATTATTAACACTTCATTAACATTAAAGACATCGATAATTCAAGATTACATTTTCGCTGAAAGTACTCAATTTTAAAACATCTTCTATTTTAATTTGATAATTTCCATGTGTTCAAATTCTGCTTTTTGAAAGTAAGAATGTATTTACACGATGATATTAAATACAAATGATACCTAAATGCATTACCATATTTTGGCAGTTGTATAAATGATAAGGAGTTATCTCTCCTATACCAGGTAGAGATATCCTAAACTGCTATATACATAATTTGATTTGTGCTTTTTAATATTTATTATCTTAATTTTTCATCTTGCATATTCGTTTGTAGGAGTCTCCTGCTCTAAAAAAAAAACATACTAGTTGGAATATTAAATTGTTTCTTTGTAATTTTTTATCCATTGACATGTTCAAATATAAGAACTTCAAACGACTTTCAACCGAAGTATATTTTAACCGTTATGCATTGCGACTCATTTCAGTAAATACATCACATATTATCTATAATACAATATAAAATAGAAACAGGAGAAGTGTCACAGACCCGACCTCAACTCAACAACTACTAGGGTGTTTCTAACGACCTTGACCCCCATGACGGACTCGCACTGTCGGTTTGCTAAAAAAATAATATAAAACAAAAACATCGAAGAAACAGATAACAAGATGCTTAAATGATTATGGCGTGTTTGAAGGCTTTTTGCGTTTTTTTAATACGTGTGTGTACTCATGAAAGTTAATAATAAAAAAACACTCATGACTTTAAGCGAGACTAATTACAGTACATTGTAAATAAGCGTTCTTTGTGATATCATGTAGAGCCTAGGTGATCGAGTGGTCTAGCACGTCGGGCATAGTGCAAGGCGATGTGATGCCACGATATCTCAGGAGCATGAGTTCGAATCCCGGCGAGGGAAGAACAAAAAGTTTGTGAAGGCAAGTTTACAGATCTAACATTGTTAGGCTGATGTTTACCTGAATAATGTAAGAAACTGACCTTGCTGCTAAAATAGTTTTACTTCCATTTTTTTTTTTATGTTTTTCAATTCTATTTCGTCTGCAATCAAAATCATGAAGTACAAGAAGTAAGTAAAAAAATCTTGTCAATACACAAATCATTATAAAAAAAATTAGAAAACTATTAATATCTATCGTTTTAGAACTTCTCAATATTTTTTGGTTAGCAGGATTCACAAACAAATATATACTGTTGAGCAAATTAGTGTGCCCATTGCTGATCATAATAAAATTGAGAATGAAATACTCATTTGTAACAGCAAAATGTCCCATGGAACGACTTTGAACTATGTGCATTGCATTATGAAATTAAAAGTAATAGACGTCCCTTACACACTTTATTGTCAGTGACCACTGTATATGTAACGAAATCATACGGTCAACTCATTTTGACTGCTCAGATACAGCAATTACAATAAAATATACTAAGTTTTGTCAAATTAATAATGCTACATCACTATGTTTTTATAGATTTAAATTTGTATTCACAGATATATTTGATATTTCAGTATTACAGATCAACATTGTGTCACTTAATAATCACATTGTCAATTATATATCATACTATGTTTTATTTGTTTGAAAATAGAATAAATGTACACTTCATTAGTCAAATCTACATGATCTATTTTCACAGTTTTGTTCCAATCAGAATATTACAAACTTCTTTTTACTGGGTAGTTAAACAGAAAACTCCTCCCTTTAAATAACGGAGAACTATACTTTATCAACAGCGCGAATATTCTACATATGTGCTACCTGTTGAAAACAACATGTTAGCTGAACTATTCGATATTATGTTATTTAACTAATATGTTTGGGTAGGTATTTATTACTTTTGGTTATTTATTCAGTATTTCTGTGATAACTGACAAGTAGTATTTCTCAGTACTCCTTTGCTATTTACGTAATAAAAGATTTGATAAATCAATTGTTCTTGACTTTTATAACAGCTAACATATTGTTTCAATCTAATTAAAGTAAATGAAAATAAAATGAGTGAAGCTATCTAGTTCGTAGATTGATAAGACACTTAAGATAACTATACGTGCAAGAATGACACAGGATATTTGAGCTGGTAAAAAATACCTCCGCCCCCTTTCACTCATGTTTTATTTGGTAATCAAACTTTTGCAACGAAAATCATTTAAAAGCAGGACATGGAACTACATGTTTATATAAATCAATACATTGAACAGTCTGTCAATGCTTTGTTATAATTCTTTCTTTGAATGTAACTAATCTTGATAAAATTAACGTGCTTATAAAGTTTATTAAATGCAGTTTTAACTTTTCATAATACATATCTAATACGATTTTTTTACATAGAAAGACAGTATAATCAGTCATTGGAGTCGTGACTTATGGATGAGCTCAAAAAGACTCGTGGTATACACAGACGCGTTGCTGTTGTTAAAATACAGGAAGCAAATGAAAAGGATGTTGACCTTTCAAAACTTCAAGCTATTATAAAAATTCTTAAAAAGAAAAAAAAAAATGATTGAAAATTTAGACAAAGCCATTCAAGATAAAACCGATGATGAACATAAGGAAACAGAAATTATAGAAGCTGATGAGTATATTTTTGAAATTGTAGAGGCGATTGTTAGATACAAGGAAATTTTATCGAGACCGGTGAGTCAATGTTTATATTAAAGATAATCAACACAAGTAATTTGTAGTTTTCTATATGGTTAGTAATGACCTGATTATCCAAGTCCTTTTAGATTAATTTATATAGTTTTCAATACCATCATATTCCCGAATATTAACTGTTACACGGAATGTGAATTTGCATAGCTGAGCGGCGTGTCTCGGTGTTTTGTACATCCAACATTCATGGATTTATTTCTGATGTTTTTTTGTTATGGTTTTGGTTGGATAATCATTATAATGTATCATATCGTTTGTAGTCAAAATATTTATAAAATTGCCATTCCATACCACCATTGTCATGAAAATTGTTCGAACGAATATTGTAAAATAGTAATATAACGTTTAAGATTGTATGTTAGTAACGTAAGCGCGTCACTGTTTTTGATATCATGTGGTGTTTGTCGTTCATGGAATATGTTCTTTGTTCTTCGGTTTGCATGATGTGTCGACTTATATTATTTGTTTGTGCGTTTCTCTGTTATGAATGTTCTTGCGTGTGTTTGTGCTGTATTTCTGTCACGTAATGATTTAACGATATTTTTTAACATTGTGATAAAGCGGGAGGTTTGGCATGACATTAAATCAGTTTCAACCCAAATTTATAATTAATTGACCTGTACCAAGTCAGGAATATTGCAGTTGTTATCAATTAGCTCGTTTCTATGTGTGTGTTAGCGTTTTTTTTTTGTTGCACTTCGGTGTTCTTGTTGTTCTTTTGTTTTCCTGTTATAGTTGATGTGTTTTCCTCGGTTTTGGTTTGTAACCCGGATTTGATTTTTCTTTATCAATTTATGACTTTTGAACACCGGTATACTCCTGTTGCCGTTATTTATCTTATGTAATGCTATTACAATCCTTTTGTAGAAAGCCTTATGTTTAATTTCGAGACAAGGATAGTGATAAAACCAAGAAAACATTTAAATTTTATTCAAATTTCGAAATTTAGGTCGCAGTTCAAATAACTCTACACACAATCTTATCTCTCACTATGAAATGCTAATTAAAAATAATTTATTTAACATGTAATTAAACAAAGGTGAAAGTTTTCATGTGAACAAGTGTAATTATATAAAATGTAAACACGCTACAATGAAGGGAAATAATAAGACAATAAAAACGTCAAAATCGTCACACAACTTCTCATTTAAGATGGCTCGGGTGTCTTCCTCCATCTTGGATTTTGAAGTAACAGATAACAATTGGTCTAGATCTTTAATGAAATGTCCATATTTTTAGAGAAATATGTAATTCATGTGAAAGACTTTTAACGTAAATATAGAAAATAATGTGTTTTATCATATTGTCGCCTGTAATGTCTGAAAAAGACATCATATTTGTGTTTGATTTATTCTTTTCACCTTTGCCAAATAAGGGGAGATAACTCAGATAGTAGGAATGAAAACATAGATAAAGTAATTTTATAAAAAAAAGAGTATGTTATAAGAGCTATCGTCTCAAATTTTATCTTAAAATTCTATGGTGTAGTTTTCTTTTTATCACACAAAATTGAATTTTCCATGCACAATCTATACAAAATCTGACAATTTGGCACAATCTGTAGCGTTAAAAAAATCCGGTGACCCATACTTTTTATTATATTTTTGAAAAAAATATAATAAAAACTTCATTTTGACAAATTTAAAAAAAATCTTTGGATTTTGATTAAGTCGCTCTAGGCACCTTGAAGATTAAATGTTATCATCAGATATTAAAATTTAATAATGAATAACTCTTTGAAAGAAATTGTACATGTATACAGAATATATATTATATGCAAGAAAATTTGAATGAAATGTCAATGTTTTCTGGGTTTAGACACTTTCATTATCGAAGTTTTTGTCTCGAAATTAAACATTAGGCTTATAACAATAGCATTGTAATGCTATTTCTCTACATGTGTTTTTTCAGACTGCACATAACGTTTAAATTTTTCTGTGCATCTTCTTTTCGTTTCTTTTTTTTCTCTCCCTATTTTGTTCCCATGCTTGCTTCGGTAATTCTCTTATTTTTACATCCCCGACTTACGTTAGTGCATCCTTTGGATCTATAAAATTCTTGTTGTTCGCTACAATAACTCTAAATCTAATCTCCGAGGATTTATGACATTTTCAGATGTTTCTTTATTATTTCACCTTTCTACTTGATAAGTCACATATCTGACATTAGTGAACGTTCACCTTTCTTAGTGAATATCCACAACAAGGTTTTTATATTCCTTGATTGAACCAAAAACTGTGTTTTACCACAATCCTGAACATAACAGGTTTACCCGTTTCATGCATCCGCTGATCATAGCTCTCGTAAGTATAATTCGTGAAACATTGATACCCATCTTCATACACATGCACTTGCAACAAGACTCTATTTCAAAACATACAGTTAATAGACCTATACAGTTGTTATACATTTATTCACAGAAATCAACTTTAACTTGCAATTTCATTATGCCAAAGTCTACATTAAAGCAAAATATTTCATGTGACATTTTTGCCTGTGTAAAATTGTCATCAACTGTGAAAAACAGTGACCTTAACCCATTACAATTTAAAAATTTGGAATCTTATATTAATTTCGATACAAGTGAATTTTTGATACTTTTTTTTAATATATAAATCTCTATAAGTTGAAAACTTGTTATGATAGTTATTGCTTGAATCACTCTTACACAAAATTTAAACAAAATGCCAATATTTCCCCGCGAAAGCAATAAGCAATAACTGGTACACTTTTGTTAACTGCTATTCTGACATTTCACAAACAATCCGAGACAAATCTAAACTGAAAAAAAAAAACCAAAAGAACTTAAATCATATACAAGCAAAAATGAATTCTAGCTACATTTTACTGCACTGTTACAGTTTAAAAAGGCTACGCAGATTGTATCAAAGCCTATTACATTTGAATATTTCTTTTTTACGTTAAGGAATACTGCGGAACGGTTTGCGACAATGAGGGTTTATGTGGGTAGATTTTTCTGAGGAGTTAGACAGATGATGGAGCTATGTCTATACAAATCGTTTTACAATTTCTACATATGTTTCACGCCATGGGATTAACGTAGTGTTTTTTTCGTTTCTGTACATCGTAAGCATTTGCCCGGAATTTATGATTGCTCACCATTGCGGTATGATAAATTTACTTGAATTGATTTAACCAAAGAAGTTTCGAGAAGATATCGATCAAAAATATTTGTATCATATGTACAATATAGTCAGACACGCGCTTTGGATATCATGAAATTTAATGTATCAATAAGGTACGATAAGATAAATAATCACAACATTTATGTTATTGTTATTGTTATCGTGACTCATGGCATTGGTCGTTAAATAGAAACCAAGTCATTACAAATAATATCTTAAATTAAGGTCAATTAATACACGTATTAATTATTTTTTTCAACCTTTATGTCTTTGATGGTTTTTAGGGGGTACTTTGGTATTATCAATTATATGGACCTATAACGTTATAGCCATAGCGATAATTTAGATGTATTGATTTAAATTACATTTGCGAAAGTAAAGTAAAAAATGGAAAGGTAACCTTAATATTTGAAAATATATTGATGTTTATATGGAAATTGTTCTCAAAGGGAGTAAACACTCACAAGATAAGATAAATAAAATTAAACTTTAGGTTTGAATATCACTATTGACAAGCATTATATGTAAACTAAAATGTAATGTGAAATAACTTATGATTCTAAATCGGAATTCTTTTACTAAATGTATACAATTTCCTGACAATCAGGACAAATAATATTGAAAATATATTGATGTTTATATGGAAATTGTTCTCAAAGGGAGTAAACACTCACAAGATAAGATAAATAAAATTAAACTTTAGGTTTGAATATCACTATTGACAAGCATTATATGTAAACTAAAATGTAATGTGAAATAACTTATGATTCTAAATCGGAATTCTTTTACTAAATGTATACAATTTCCTGACAATCAGGACCAATAATATTGCGTTTCAGTTAAACAAATGTCTTCACGAAAGTATATCTTCATAATTTGACCTACAAATTAATCAAGGATACTCGTTCGCGCCAAATCTGATTATTAATGTCATAATCACTTCGTGAAAATACAACGTTTGTGCCACTTAAATTGTGAAATTCAAATTAATCAATTGTAGCAATTGAACTGGCATATAATTGGATCAATTGGATATTTACCCTTAGATATTATTATTTTCAATCTTGACTTCTCGATTACTAGTAACTAAATTTTAACCCCTACAAAAGGTTGCGAAATTTGCCAAAAATAAAGTCGCGTGTAATTAACCACCTTCAAACTGGTAAAAATGAATTTGGTGACTTTATGGGAAGAAGTGGTGCGTTATTTTCATTGATGTGTATACGAGCGCGTTTTGTTTCATTTCGTTAATTTTGAAGAGTACTGATTTTTTGGGGGATGGTTGCTGAGATAAAAATTCAGCTTCTTTCTATTGCATTCTGATCAAAATCTATTGTAATACTAGTAGTTTTTGTTCAGTTGTTTTGGCACAAATTGTCTAATGCACCACCACTAGATGTACATGTGAAATGTTGTTAAGTAAATAAAGGCAACAGTAGTAAACCACTGTTCAAAAGTCATAAATCGATAGAGAGAAAACAAATCTTGGTTACAAACTAAAACCGAGGGACAAACATCAATTTGACTTAACTTACAGGACGTGTTTTTGAATGAGTAATCGGCATTCTTATACGAAACCACTACGCTCTTCGTCTTGCCGAACCCACTGTGCTCTTCGTCTTGCCGTACCCACTGTGCTCTTCGTCTTTCCGAACCCACTGTGCTCTATGTCTTACCGTACCCACTGTGCTCTTCGTCTTGCCGAACCCACTGTGCTCTTCGTCTTGCCGTACCCACTGTGCTCTTCGTCTTGCCGTACCAACTGTGCTTTTCGTCTTGCCGTACCCACTGTGCATTTCGTCTTGCCGTACCCACTGTGCTCTTTGTCTTGCCGTACCCACTGTGCTCTTTGTCTTGCCGTACCCACTGTGCTCTTCGTCTTGCCGTACCCACTGTTTTCTTCGTCTTGCCGAACCCACCGTGCTCTTCGTTTAGCCATACCCACTGTGCTCTTTGTCTTGCCGTGCCAACTGTGGTCTGTGCTCTTCGTCTTGTCGTACCCACTGTGCTCCTCGTCTTGCCGTACCCACTGTGCTCTTCGTTTTGCCGACCCCACTGTGCTCTTTGTCTTGCCGAACCCACTGTGCTCTTCGTCTAGCCTTACCCACTGTGCTCTTCGTCTTGACGTACCCACTGTGCTCTTCGTCTTGCCGAACCCACTGTGCTCTTCGTCTTTCCGAATTTTTCATATGAGGCTGATTTTATACGTCAAGAGCTTTTTATGTATGTTGGAAAAAGCTAGTAATTTCCTTTAATTTAACATTTCACTATACATACTAGGATGTCCTTTCACTTAATATTTCATGGTTTAATGACTATGTTGAAAGCATCAACTGCATCGAGCTTGAAACGCCAGATACAATATATAGTTTTAGTCTGCTTGATATCTTGACTTACATCTATTAATTGACAATTAGGGTCGGTTGATAACAAAACTTTAACAGCTTCTCAATTGTAAACTTTACCTTTCTAGGTAGCATCATTTCAGCAGCCGCATGCATTTGGAGTACATTTATCCAAGTTGACATTCCAGGGCTTGTGTTTTCTATTGTGACTTAATTGATTGAAGGTTGCTGCTCACAAGGAAGCTATTAAACCAAAAGTTCCAAGTGATGAAGTTAAAATCATACATTCGAACTTTTTACGAACGTCATCGCGAGTTAAATAAGTAAAAATGCGGTGTGATGCATGTATAAAAGAGGGGCTAAAGATACCAGAGGGACATTCAAGCTCAATAGTGAAGCAAATGTTCATTTGTAAGAGTTTCCAATATATGTTTTTTTTAATTTTCTTTCATTTATATGTTTTGGAGTTTAGTATGACGTCCATTTTCACTGAACTAGTACGAAGTTTTGTTTAGGGGCCACCTAAAGGCCGCCTCCGGGTGTTGGTGCTTGCTCTGTTGAAGACCAATTGACGGCCTTCGGTTGGTTTTTTTTTTAACTTTTTGTTCGGGTTGTTGTCTCTTTGACACATTCCTCATTCCCATTTTAAATTATAATCCAGCTATTAATATAAATGAATATTGTATAATTAGAAATAAAACACCGTTGCACCAAAGTTCACAGGAATAAAATGAGAACCTCAATGTCTCATTCACTATAGTAAGCTACGTATATATGTTTTTCCTTTAAAACGATACAAAGCATCCTTTGAAAAATCAATTCTAAAGATATCTTTCGCTCATATAGCAAGCCAGTCTATTATGGTGACCTTTTTTCTTTACAGGAAAAATGGTCATTAATATTATTCGACAAGAATGGAACTACCATGAGAACGACAAAAATGCAAACTAATGAAGATTGTACATTTGGCAAAGACAATTTGAAAGTGGAAGTGCTTTATCAAGCAGGTATGCCTTATTGCTCCTGTAGTTTATACAAATTATGAGCATTGTGTGCACTAGCAACTGAATTCCCCTCGAATGAAACAAATAATCAAATATATGTTGGTCAAATCTAAATGTTTCTTTTTATTAGTCATGCATGCCTTTTTTGTTCCACGTAAAATCTTAAACAATGTAAGTCTTGTATGTTGTTTTTCATTTGAGTTCATTTATATGTTTTGGAATTTAGTGTGACGTCCATTATCACTGAACTAGTACACAATTTTAGTTAGGGCTAGCTAAAGACCACTTCCGGCTGCTCTTTGATTGGGTTGGTGTCTCTTTGAAATATGTCCCATTTCCATTCTAAATGTAATCATCAATCAAAAGTAATATTATGAAACGTATTATTGATTTGTAAGCCAGCCATACAAAGACAGGTTAAGAAGGATATACAAGCAGATAAGCCAAACAATGATTGTGTATACTAATTGTGTTTTATCTATAACTATAGCATTGAAGAAACTTAAGAAACACAAACACATAACCCTGTTTTTGGGTTTTAAGTGTCCCATGCCTCAAGTTAATACCAGGTAAAGGATAGTATCACACGCTTGAGATTGTACGCACATTTTAGATAGTATATAAAAAGAAGAAATATAAAAAAAGGAGATGTGGTATGATGGCCAATGAGACAACTCTCCACAAGAGATCAACTGACATAGAAATTAACAATTATAGGTCACCGTACGCCCTTCAACAATGAGCAAGCCCATACCACATAGTCAGCTATAGAACAACATTATGAAACAACATTCAATAATGTATAAAGATGCTGACAGAGTATTCCTACCTGCAATTTTATCCTGACAAAGGCACTTTGTATTTAAGCTACATTGCAGTCTCGTTTTAATTTCTGAACTTAATATTCGTCATTATTACATGAATAACTTAAGATAAAAAATAACACACAGATTCAGGTAAAAAAAAGACCGGAGTATCATATGCACGCAACGTAAGAGAAAAATAATTTATTTCCCTACCGGACTTACACATTAAAGCAATTCATTTTAGGTTCATTATCACTAAGTTTATATCATATATATATATATATTACATCTTGTGATCCGTTTATCAAACGCAATCACAGTTTGAACGTTGTTTTCAATTTAGACTTATTTATATTTTTTCGTTTGGGCTTGTATTATATTTGCTTTCGGGTTTATATGACCAGGTCATCCTATTTCCATTCTTCAAAATTCAAGAGTCAATCCTAAATTGAGGTAAATTATATGGCCTTCCAAAACCGTTTCGATTCCTAACATCACTGAAGAGACATTAATTTCGAAATCCGGATATGGTGTACAAATGTTGGCACCTCATGTTTGCGGTATACCATCTTTTCCGCAAGTTTGCTGTTTTCTGCTTGGTTTTAATTTAAAAAATAAAGATCCATTTTGTTACATCTTGTGATCCGTTTATGTGGCAATCGCCAATGGCAGTCAGCAGGGTTTTAGAACATCCGTTGTTCGACCTGTTAGTCAAATGCGTTTTGTTTTAATATACTTTTTCACTTTTTTGGTCTTTTGGAAAAATGTTGTTTGTGCCGTATTTAGACCCCTCTAACAAGAAATTTGTTTTGCATGCACACGTATAAAAATTGCGGTTTTTATCCAACGCAATCATAGGTTTGAACGTTGTTTTCAATTTAGACTTGTTTATATTTTTTCGTTTGGGCTTGTATTATATTTGCCTTCGGGTTTATATGATCCGTTCATCCTATTTTGACTCCTCAAAATTCAAGAGTCTATCCTAAATTGAGGTAAATTGCATGGCTTTCCAAATACCTTTTCGAGTCCTAACATCACTGAAGAGACATTAATTGTCGAAATCCGGATATGGTGTACAAAAACCTTGGCACCTTTTGTTTGCCGTATACCATCTTTTCCGCAAGTTTATAGCTTTCTGTTTAGTATTAAATTTATAATTAAGATCCAATTATTACATCGGTGATCCGTTTATTTGGCAATCGCCAATGGCAGTCAGCAGGGTTTAAGAACATTTGTTTTTCGACCTGTTAGTCAAATGCGTTTTGTTAAAATATACTTTTTCACTTTTTTAGTCTTTTGAAAAATGTTGTTTGTGCTGTATTTAGACCCCTCTAACAAAAAATTTGTTTTGCATGCACACGTATAAAAATTGCGGTTTTTATCCAACGCAATCATAGGTTTGAACGTTGTTTTCAATTTAGACTTGTTTATATTTTTTCGTTTGGGCTTGTATTATATTTGCCTTCGGGTTTATATGATCCGTTCATCCTATTTTGACTCCTCAAAATTCAAGAGTCTATCCTAAATTGAGGTAAATTGCATGGCTTTCCAAATACCGTTTCGATTCCTAACATCACTGAAGAGACATTAATTGTCGAAATCCGGATATGGTGTACAAAATCCTTGGCACCTTTTGTTTGTAGTATACCATCTTTTCCGCAATTTTATTGTTTTCTGTTTAGTATTAAATTTATAATTAAGATCCATTTATTACATCGGTGATCCGTTTATTTGGCAATCGCCAATGGCAGTCAGCAGGGTTTAAGAACATTTGTTGATCGACCTGTTAGTCAAATGCGTTTTGTTAAAATATACTTTTTCACTTTTTTGGTCTTTTGGAAAAATCTTGTTTGTGCTGTATTTAGACCCCTCTAACAATAAATTCGTCTGTATGCACACGTATAAAAAATGCGGTTTTTATCCAACGCAATCATAGGTTTAAACGTTGTTTTCAATTTAGACTTGTTGATATTTTTTCGTTTGGGCTTGTATTATATTTACCTTCGGGTTTATATGATCCGTTCATCCTATTTTGACTCCTCAAAATTCAAGAGTCTATCCTAAATTGAGGTAAATTGCATGGCTTTCCAAATACCGTTTCGATTCCTAACATCACTGAAGAGACATTAATTGTCGAAATCCGGATAAGGTGTACAAAAACCTTTGCACCTTTTGTTTTCGGTATACCATCTTTTCCGGAAGTTTATTGTTTTCTGTTTAGTATTAAATTTATAATTAAGATCCATTTATTACATCGGTGATTCGTTTATTTGGCAATTGCCAATGGCAGTCAGCAGGGTTTAAGAACATTTGTTGTTCGACCTGATAGTCAAATGCCTTTTGTTAAAATATACGTTTTCACTTGTTTGGTCTTTTGAAAAATGTTGTTTGTGCTGTATTTCGACACCTCTAACAAGAAATTTGTTTTGCATGCACACGTATAAAAATTGCGGTTTTTATCCAACGCAATCATAGTTTTGAACGTTGTTTTCAATATAGACTTGTTTATATTTTTACGTTTGGGCTTGTATTATATTTGCCTTCGGGTTTATATGATCCGTTCATCCTATTTTGACTCCTCAAAATTCAAGAGTCTATCCTAAATTGAGGTAAATTGCATGGCTTTCCAAATACCGTTTCGATTCCTAATATCACTGAAGAGACATTAATTGTCGAAATCCGGATATGGTGTTCAAAAACCTTTGCACCTTTTGTTTGTGGTATACCATCTTTTCCGCAAGTTTATTGTTTTTTGTTTAGTATTAAATTTATAATTAAGATCCATTTATTGCATCGGTGATCCGTTTATTTGGCAATCACTAATGGCAGTCAGCAGGGTTTAAGAACATTTGTTGTTCGACCTGTTAGTCAAATGCCTTTTGTTAAAATATACTTTTGCACTTTTTTGGTCTTCTGAAAAATGTTGTTTGTGTTGTATTTAGACACCTCTAACAAGAAATTTGTTTTGCATGCACACGTATAAAAATTGCGGTTTTTATCCAACGCAATCATAGGTTTGAACGTTGTTTTCAATTTTGACTTGTTTAAATTTTTTCGTTCGGGCATGTATTATATTTGCCTTCGGGTTTATATGATCCGTTCATCCTATTTTGACTCCTCAAAATTCAAGAGTCTATCCTACATTGAGGTAAATTGCATGGCTTTCCAAATACCGTTTCGATTCCTAATATCACTGAAGAGACATTAATTGTCGAAATCCGGATATGGTGTACACAAACCTTTGCACCTTTTGTTTGTAGTATACCATCTTTATCGCAAATTTATTGTTTTCTGTTTAGTATTAAATTTATAATTCAGATCCATTTATTACATCGGTGATCCGTTTATTTGGCAATCGCCAATGGCAGTCAGCAGGGTTTAAGAACATTTGTTGATCGACCTGTTAGTCAAATGCGTTTTGTTAAAATATACTTTTTCACTTTTTTGGTCTTTTGAAAAATGTTGTTTGTGCTGTATTAAGACCCCTCTACCAAGAAATTTGTCTGTATGCACACGTATAAAAATACTTTGTTTTCAATTTAGACTTGTTTATATTTTTTCGTTTGGGCTTGTATTATATTTGCCTTCGGGTTTATATGATCCGTTCATCCTATTTTGACTCCTCAAAATTCAAGAGTCTATCCTAAATTGTGGTAAATTGCATGGCTTTCCAAATACCGTTTCGATTCCTAACATCACTGAAAAGACATTAATTGTCGAAATCCGGATATGGTGTACAAAAACCTTTGCACCTTTTGTTTGCCGTATACCATCTTTTCCGCAAGTTTATTGCTTTCTGTTTAGTATTAAATTTATAATTAAGATCCAATTATTACATCGGTGATCCGTTTATTTGGCAATCGCCAATGGCAGTCAGCAGGGTTTAAGAACATTTGTTGTTTGACCTGTTAGTCAAATGCGTTTTGTTGAAATATACTTTTTCACTTTTTTGGTCTTTTGGAAAATGTTGTTTGTGCTGTATTTAGACCCCTCTAACAAGAAATTTGTTTTGCAAGCACATGTATAAAAATTGCGGTTTTTATCCAACGCAATCATAGGTTTAAACGTTGTTTTCAATTTAGCCTTGTTTATATTTTTTCGTTTGGGCTTCGGTGATTCGTTTATTTGGCAATCGCCAATGCCAGTCAGCAGGGTTTAAGAACATTTGTTGTTCGACCTGTTAGTCAAATGCGTTTT